CATCAGCGCATTTACATTGACTGGATGGGGGGATGTCTGCAACAGATATCGCACGATCGTGGCATGCCCAGTCTGACACGCCAAAAACAAACCCTAGAGAAATATTTATATATATTATATATTTCACCAAATCACAGAATTGTACCAGTTCGACGTGAGCAGAGTCCAAGGCAGGGCACGCCAGGAGCAACTTCACCACCTCCAGACGCCCGTGTGCACACGCGACCCCAAGCGCCTACTCACCACAAAATAAATATATATATATAATTGCTGAGCAAGTTCTTCACAAATATCAGATAATCCATCGACCAATCAAAACACACAGAACACGAATTCAGTAGCCAATCAAGTTCTCGCTTTAACCTTTCCAAATCGAAATAGTGTATGACAAGAAATTAGTGTACCGGGCGAGCATTTTTACACACACAAATCTTAATTTACAAGAAATCGACCCATGGATTTGGTAAAGCAGCCCAAAAATCCAACTTTTGGCTCACAATCGAATATCACAATATCACATTTGACAGGTACACGTACTTGGCCCCGCACGGCCTTCGAATTGAAGTGCGCATGCTCCAGCAGCAGCGCCACGACGTCGGCGTGTCCTGCGTCGCTAGTGATGCTCAGCGCGTCCGCGCCATGCTAGGTTGAGCCATGGATGATTCATTTATATATATGTGAATAGATGAAACCTGGTTCACAGAGGCCACGTCCAGCTCGGGATGGGCCAAGAAGAGCTGGACCGCTTGGACAAAGCCCTTGGAACACGCAATCATAAACGCCGTCGTGTCGTTCTACATCCCCACGACGCTTAATTCGTCCAAAATTAGGATAAAACAACGCACGTTGTGCTTAAAATTCACGTCGATCGACGGCACCGCGAGCAGCCGCGCGAGCTTTTCCAGCTGTCGGTCCACGCACGCAATCGTCAGCGGCGGCAATTCGCCCTAGTTTTGGTCGTAAATATATGCCTTTATAGAGGTATTCGAGTACCACGTCGCTGTTGATGTTAAAGTGGGGATGGGCCAGCACCATCTCGACAATGTCCATGTCTTGTGCAGCACAAAGTGCCTAATTCTGATGGTAAAAGTGGCACTAAAGTGATGCAATTAGTACGTTGCACAGCTGACGGGGGTCCAATTGCGGCAGCGACAGAAGGAACCGGACGACTTCGGCGTGGTCGCTCTGGCACGCCAAGTAGAACGACGACACACCGTGCTATGCATC